CATCAGAGCCGTAATTATCGTAATTTTGGGTTTGGTTGTTCGCAGCTTGTTTAAGGGCTAGGCAGTTCGGGACTCTGTGGCTTGTGAAATTGACACTGAGCACCTGGGAAACATTCTAAGTGGTAATCTTAAATGAAAGAAGAAATACACCTCTGGAAAGAAATATTTCTGTCCTATGGATGATGTGCTGGAATGCATTAGAAGTGCTTTATGCAGAATACGAGTTCCAGGATAAAATCTGGAGTCTAGTCTCACCTGGTATGGCCTTGGAATAGTTGGATTGGTATGTTTGCCAGTCATTTTGTGTGTAAAAATTCAACATTTGCATTATTTAAGCAGTTATTAAAAACAATGGCTGTAGAATCCAAAGATTAGATCTAAATCTATTATTTCCAGCAAGAGTATTGGTCTTTCGGTAACAAAAAATTCTGATGCTTTTCAGTCATTTCTTGGCCTTTTCTGGTATAATATATATTCTTTTTGGTTTATGTTTTAAGAGACATGTTTCCATAAATTTTTTTGCTACGGCCCAATTCTTTGAGTTACGTTAAATGCTTGCCCAACAAATAGGCCTACATACAAAGCTATGACCGACCAATCATGAGGTGGTATTCTCAAAACTATTAGTGAAGGGTGTATTAATTGTTATGGCAACAGATTTTCAATTTGGCGCAAAACATGTGCGAGGAACAATTACAGGCTGTTCATGCTAATAGACCACTAATACTTTACATAATATTATGCCACCATCCTCACCATAGTGTAAGCAGTTAATATCCTTCTTCCACTCATCCCTTAAATGACTCTTTTTCATTTTCATACTCATGGTCCTGTTACCTTTTTTTTTGGATCATCAACATTTGGTTCTCTTCACCTAATAAAATTTTTAACTTTGGGCATCTTCTATGCAGTGTTCTTTGACTGAACATCTTTTGGCAACACTGGTCTGTCATGAGTAGACTCTTATTTGTAACTACATAGTACTTTTGCAACAACAATGTGACAATATCTACCAAATGTAGATGATCCAAAAAAGAAATTCTTTCATTATTTAGTTTAATGAACAAAGTATACTAATTTAAGATTAACTCAACACCACATAGGCCACTTTAGAGCTATTTGCACGTTTTCCATACGTTGGTAATTTGAGGATTTTGTTTATTACAAATTCATGAATAACTAATTAACAGCCGGTTCATGATATGAAACAACTGACTGCTAAAAAGTTAGTGGTAATGTAAATTGTATGATTTTTCCATCTCTTAATCAAAAGTGTTTAACATTTTATTGAAAATTATGTGTCAGCTAGATGGTAATGGGTTATACTGGAACTAGAATAGATTCAACTGACAGTGATGCAAATATTTGTATCATTATTTATTTTGATTATGAAAGGACCACTTTAACGGGGTACAAGAATAGATTACAGTGACAGTGATGCAAATATTTGTATCATTATTTATTTTGATTATGAAAGGACCACTTTAACGGGGTACAAGAATAGATTACAGTGACAGTGATGCAAATCTCTGAGATAATATGTTTTGCAAATGTGTAAATGAAAGTCTATCATATGACATCAAGGGTAATTTGAAAATGAAAAAAAAGGCCATTTAAACTTAACATTTGATAGGTAATTACCTCTACTCACACAAAACCTATCTCCATTGTTTTCTGCCCTCTAAGCATTGTTAAAGGAATTTTTAGTAGTCAGTGCACCATTCTTTACACCTCACCAGTTTTGTGCCATTTCTGAACATGTACATATAATGTGTCTACTCTCCACCAATAGTACCTCGCCACCTATAATGGTGCAGCTAGCTCCCTCTGCTATTCCTGCTCAATCTTCACTTTCAAGAATTGGCAAGTACTAGATAAAAAACATCGATTTTAGATAGGAGGGAGGGTGGGTAGCATATTTTCAGTGTAAGAAAATGTTAACTTCCAAAACAGACTTACCTCCTCCCACACAAAAGATTGAATCCAACATTGCAAAAGTGTAGGGCTAGTGTAGGCCAACAAAAAACAAATCAAACAGATAGCAACTGCTCAGAATAAATGCTTATGCCCCGGGATGAAAATAAAGCACACCAGTGGGTACTGTACTCCTTCTAGAACAGGTATTCTCTTTGCCCAGGAATGAGGAAAGGAACACCAAATGGATGGAAAAGGTAGTGCTTGCAGGACTGTGAAAGAGTTTAGAAGATGCAAGCTTTAGAAACATATAGTGAGAAAAAAGTAATAAGAACAAAGGCATGTGAACCATGTTATGAATATCCAACAACCCCAACCATAAGTAAACAGAGTGCCATACGTCAAGCAACTAGAATTACGAAGAGGAAGTGAGCAATGGCCATAACCAAACAAACTCCCAAATCACCATGGGAGCATAAAGTATGAGAAACCAAACCCAGCATTAGGGGATCTTGGCATTACCTCGATTCAACTGAAAGAACAGGGAAAGCTGTAATTGGTATTATGGGGAAAATCATACCTCACTCAACTGTAAATGCATATCAGAGAAGAACAACCAGCATTTGGCCAAATGTAGAAACAGAGCACAGACGTCTCATTGCCCATATTATGAAGAAGACAAAGTTTCTCAAACTCAACTGTAGAAGCAGGAAAGAACCTTCTGCAACCCGAATTAATGATAAGAGAGATGTCTACTGCACACAACCATAGGAACAGGGCGTTGTCATTCTCAACCAAGAATTTTGAGGAGGATCCCTCGTAGGCTGGCCCCAGTTATAAGATGATCATTGGTTCTATTGAGTGTAGTCCGTCAAGACAGAAAACATCTGGGGAATGCACCATGAGGGAACCAGCTTCACCCTCTACTAACTGAGTGGATAAATGAGCGTAAACATAGTAACATGGAATGACACTTAGGAGGAAGCCTCCATGGTCCACTACCCCAGCAACTGGGAACTGAGTGGTATGGACTTCCATGCAATGGGTGACTGAGTTTTTCTATTTTGAAAAGCAGACCAAACCCTATTAAGGAATCAAAGGATTGGCAGAAATCCCCTTCTGCTTTACATATGAAGTCCATGAGTGACAGTTCACCAAAGACATAGTTTAATGATGTCTAATACATAAGGACTGACAAACATCAAATGGGCAAAGTATAAAAAAATTTCTAGTCCACAAAGAATGTAAAAATAAAGGACGTGCCAACTGACAAAAATTATCAAGAAAACACAATAATAATAAGCAATATCTAAGGTACCAGACAAAGACTAGATGACAAGGACACAAAATTATGACCTACACTGACTAAAATAAGGAGGATAAGGTACATACTTATCAATGACAAAAAATTATTCAAAGAGAGCAAAGAATTTTGTTACTAGTAATAATAATATGGACGGTACAAACATACCCAATAAATGTACCAAGTCGCCAAAGTACATAATAAAAACGTGCATGTAAACAGACGAAAATTACCGAGAAAACACATAAATAATCAACATCTAATATACCATTCCACGAAATTAAGTGAGACGACAAAGGTCGTGTAATGAAGTCCGACACTAAGGTAAATGATGATGAGAAGACATATAGTTAACAGCTACATTAAAAAAACAAAAACAAATAGAACAATGAATTATATGTAGTAATGATAAGTAAGGTACAAACTATCCAAATATACCAAGTTAATAAAATACTTATAAATAGGAAATAAACCATTTAAATCTATCTAATCCACAAAATATGTAACGATAACAAATGAGCAAACCGATGAAAATTACTTAGAAAACACCTGAATAAGCAATAACTAACTTACTATACATCGAAATTAACGAACTAACAAAATACGTAAAATTAATGAACGCCCATAACAATTAAATTGTTGAAATTAGAAAGCAATAACCAATATCTAACATACAAGTAAACTAAAGTAACAAGGATAACAAAGTACTCCTAAATATCTAACTTACCAGAGTCCGAGCACTGATAATTTCAAATAGGCAAGACTCCTGTGTATAAAGAAGAGCAAAGTCATGCAAAGAGCATCGGAACTGGGCCTATCACGAGTATATCAATGTGGTGTGAAGTGTACGTGTTGAAAAACTAACCCCAATTCTACTGGGAGAACTTGAAGCTAGAGGAAGAAAGAAGAAGGAGAACAAGTCTCCTCCCCCAGTTGAAAGACATGGTGGCCATCAATTGGGGGAAGGTGCCTGAAAAAGGAGAGACCAGAGTGGCAACTCAGTGAGTGTGTCTTATTCCTCAGAAAATGCCAGCCGAATGGTAAGACTAACTGTCTGTGAACCAAGACTTGTAATTCCACAGCAGATAAAGTTGACCCCGTGTCCTAAGAAGTTGTGCCTCATCCATTGTTGCCTGTTGGGGTAATATCATCGTCTGCCACAGTAAACCTCAAATTCACACTAAAACATGTAGAATTCGAGAACGAGAAGATTTTGAAGGCAACATCGTGGAAACAAATGAAATAAAACATAAAAATTAGAAATTGTTGAATAAACTTCGTCAAAAACAGCATCAAAGCACAATCAAAAACTATAATCACATTTGGAAAAATTAAACACACACACATGTCTAAACTGTGTTACGCCAATTGAGAAAGTGAGGATAGAGCAGGAATAGCAGAGGGAGCTAGCTGTGTCGTTATAGGTGGCACAATACTATTGGTGGAGAGTAGTCACATGATTTGTACGTGTTCAGAAATAGTGCAAACTGGTGGAGTATAAAGACCGATGTGTTGATCAATAAAAATTCTTTTAACAATGCTTAGAAGGCAGTCAATGATGGAGATAACATTTGTGTGAGAAAAGGTAAGTCTGTTTCAGATATAAGAAAATTGTAGTAGTTGAAGGAGACAATTTATTAATTGATTAATTAGTCCATTAATTAATCAATTAGCTTGATGCCAGAACTTAATAGAGCTGGGCAGATAGTGGTATTTTTACGTTCTATTGACTTAATTTCCTTACAGAATACTAACTTCTACTATTATTCCTACAGATTTTCACCTGAAATTGATTCCTCTGTAATAATGCTTTTCCCATGTTCCCATTCAAACCGAAGAGCATCAGTTAAAGACTTTGCTTCAAACGATGAATAGTAGGTGGAACGTCTGTCGACTCTCAAGCACTTCTGAGGAAACTTGACAAGAGAAGAGGCTAGATTAACAGCTTGGCCAAGAGCTGAAACGAACAAGATAATTATCAATTAAAAAAATAAAATAAAAGAGTAATAATAAGAATTATTATTCACTTGAAATTTGCATATACATAGATTGAGAATTTAATAGAAAAAAACATCCATTACAAACTTTGTAAAGGAGGAAATTGTGTATATTAGTTGCTTAGAATACTATGTACTTACACACAATTCATAGAAAACACTGAATGAAATCGCAAGGACTTGGTACATCACTTTCATTACACCTGTTGAAATGCTTGAATGAACATATAGTAATTTTGCATAAATACAGTCATTTCTACAAGCCCTGATGAAGTCATAATGGTTAAACATAGATTGAAATAAAGTGTTCTTAAGTTATGTGGAGTGTAAAAGTTTCTTTCACTAACTTTATTGTCCAAAACGTCTAAATCCCTCCAGTATGTACTATATAGTCTACAACTAACAAAACAGACCAAAATGAAAGAGAATTACTACTTCTATTAAAAACAGTTATCTCTCTGTTACCTTTATTTATAAGTTAAAACTGTTACAAGAAACAATGCATGTCACTTAGTGAATTATAGCAGTTTGAAAATAAGGTGGAAACAGAGTTAAACTTTAAAGTTGGCAAAAATGTGCTGAAACACAGGTTAAAAAAATATACATTCAATTTGACATTTCAAATAAATGCTCTTCATTATATAGTCACACTACCTGACAAAGTGTTTGTTCAAAATGTTTTGTTAGCTTTATTTTCATTTTACAAGTACTTTATCAACTTTGTTTAAACTACAAAGTTGTCATAAGAGTTTATACTATCATGCGTAAAATCCATATTCAGTTTTACACTGGCATAATGAGGTTTTCTAAGTTATCCAGGTAATTCAGTACAAATGAAACAGATACCAGCTTGACTTACAAGTGCCACACGCAACAAGCCGATTAGCGAGTCCTATCTCGAATGCTTCCTTTGCTGAAACTTGTCGTCCAGTAAGAATAAGATCAAGTGCCCTGGACAGACCTATAAGATGGGGAAGGCGAGCTGTTCCACCATCAATTAATGGAACACCTAAGACAGCAAATAAAAATGGATAGGGAGATGAGCTACTATTAATCGAAGACATCTTGATCAACTGATTTTTCTATTAACTCTGTAATAAATTCTAAGTAATTAGAAAATAATGATTCTTGTACTATGGTATTGATTCTATTCACAATAAAGATTTTAAACCTTCCATTACAGAAAATCAGAGATCAACAAACTTCCACTCAGTAAAGGTCACACCGACAAACATCTGCTCAACACAAACAACTCATTGTACTTTCTAAAACTGGAATGTTTGTCTGCACCAAATAACAAGATTTACTAAAAGCAGCGGAAATTTCCTGAGTTCATGTTAAGAACTGTTTCCTTACTGCGGGTGTGGAAGAAATTCTGTGACTATTCAAAGTTTTAAAAATTGGGCTATAAAAGTAATAATTTGGCATTCTTCATAAGTGGTGGTTTCTTTAAGTCATTCATATAATTTGTTAATTCTTCCAAAATGTCTTTGAATACACAGCAATGCTTTTTCTACCAACTGTCTGTATTCAGCCTAGTGGTTAACATGTCAGACTCCTCATTGAAGAGTAGATGCATTATACAAGTGATAATAGGTCCCTTTGTGGAACAAATGAACTGGACAAAGTCCATGAGATTGTGGGTGCTACTGGCTGGCTACATTCCTTCTGGACAATAGTTCATAATAAGGATTGGTTACATCCGAGCCATAAGTGCACTATTAAGTTACCATTCACAGTTTTGCATAGCAAATTTGATTAAGTGTTTCACATATGGTAAATAACAGTAGTAGAAAAATACGAGACAATGAATTTATTTAAAACTGAATTTATGAAGTCAAGATTTTTTGATAACTTAAAAATAATTCATTCCCACCATAACTTAAGATTTAAAAAAATATATATTTTTTCAAAATACAATTGATATGAAATACTGACTAAAATAATAATAAAAAAAGATCAACCAAAAATCAGCAGTATACTCAACAGGTTTATCTTAAACATGATAGACAGAATATTACACAAAACTTATTTCTCACTACTGCAAAAAACAAATTCCTGAAATAATGACATTATTTTAGTAAGCTATCTGAACTTGCTCACAGAACAAACACACACATTATTTACTTACTAATATATGTTAGACCTCAACTGAAGAGAATCAGCTACGTTTCAAAATTTCAAACAATGCTTCATTTACGTACTCACTTTAAAAAATAATCACCAAGCATAATTCAAACAGTTCATTATTTATATACTAACTTTTAAAATAAACAGCAGCAGGTATATTTCAGAGAACAGTTCATTATTTGTACACTAACTTTTAAAGATAAACAGAAGCAGGTATATTTCAGAGAACAGTTCATTATTTGTATACTAACTTTTAAAAATAAACAGCAGCAGGTATATTTCAGAGAACAGTTCATTATTTGTATACTAACTTTTAAAAATAAACAGCAGCAGGTATATTTCAGAGAACAGTTCATTATTTGTATACTAACTTTTAAAAATAAACAGCAGCAGGTATATTTCAGAGAACAGTTCATTATTTGTATACTAACTTTTAAAAATAAACAGCAGCAGGTATATTTCAGAGAACAGTTCATTATTTGTATACTAACTTTTAAAAATAAACAGCAGCAGGTATATTTCAGAGAACAGTTCATTATTTATATACTAACTTTTAAAAATAAACAGCAGCAGGTATATTTCAGAGAATAGTTCATTAGTGATGTACTCAGTTTTGAAAATAAAATGCACCAGTCATATTTCAAACAATTTTTCATTATTTATGTTCCAAATTTGAAAATCAAAAAAGTCCAATCATGTTACTACACTGAAGTTAATGATGTTTCATTCCTACATCTATATTTACAATTATAAGCATCATTTTAAATCTGTATGTAATTCAACAACCTTCAAGTCGCTCAGTGATTTCAATATACATTTAGTTTTGGATTTATACATCTGAATGGTGCATGAATTGGTAAACATTCCAATCAAAGTACTTCTGTCTTTATTTTACTGTAACTAACTGACTGATGGGTGTATGTATGTATCTATGTATATAGGTGCAACCATACTATAACCTTCTATTATATATGTATAAAT